GAAAAAAAAAAAAAAAAAAAAAAAAGACTGCAATGAGATATTATAGTATACCCATTCCATTGGCAAAATCAATCCTGATTATACTACCTGTTGCACAGAACATAAATACACAGAATCTCTTATTCACTGCGGGTAGGAGTATAACTGTTCTAACGCCTTGGGAGAAATTTAGCATTGTGTAAGGTGAACATTCTCTCCAAACCAGTGATTTCTCCCAGAAAGAAGTCCTTCGTGTATGTAAGAATTTCCATAATGAGCAACAGGAACATGCGTAAATAACAGGGGCTACACTCAAGCTAGACTTTAAACAACAGTCAAGCAAGTCCATGAGAGCTGGGAGATAGCTCAGTGATAAAGCACAAAGGCCCTGGGTTCAATCCTCAGCACCATAAGAAAAAGAAAATGAAACTCAGGTGGATGGATGGATGGGTACCTGGGTACATGGTTGATGGAGACTGGCTGACCTTTTTTATAAAGTAAAAAGGGGGTTAAGTTTTTATAATGAGCTTTTAAAATGCTATGCAGATGGGATCAAACTAAACAAAAAGCAAAGAACGGAGAGAGTGACTAAGATTTGAGATGCTGGTTATCCTGGAGTGAAGATGGAGCACATGTGTAATCCCATATGTTCAGGAGACTGAGGCAGGTTTATCCTGGAGTGAAGATGGAGCACATGTGTAATCCCATATGTTCAGGAGACTGAGGCAGGGGGACTGCCACATGTTCAAGTTCAAGTTCAGCCTTGGCTACACAGTGAGTTCAAAGCCAGCCAGAACTACAAAATGAGACTCTTAGCTCAACAAAACAAAACAAAAGCCAGATGATAATTCTGGGATGGGTAGCAGGAGGCCTAAGAAATAGGTGCCTACATTTTCTCCAAACACCATGTTTCGTGTTAAAATTGTTTTCTAAATTGAGAATGGACTTTCCAAAAGAGAAAGTACCTAGAGAAATATTTGATTCCTTCTCCACCAGCCATACTTAACAGCAGGTAAACCTGACTAGCAGCGCCTACAGAAAAGAGATTGTGAATTAAAAATTCCCTCGCTCTGTTTTTAGCTCACAATCACCCAAACCTTGTCTCTATCCAAGCCACCCATCCACACTTGGAGAACTACTGAGAGTTGGGCACGTAGGGAGAGGACAGGAGATAACACACCGAGCCATCAGTAAGATATCCTGCTGCTGTCAGGGTGACAGGGAGGGCGCTTGGTCCTTGATTCAGATCAGAAGTGGGGACAAGACCGGGCCGTCAAATGCCTGAGTACTGAGAGGCACGCAGAGGAGACCAAAACATTCTTAGGAGGCAGAACTTGGGGTTAAGAGAAATTGCCATTCCAGCTCCACCTCAAAAAGGCCTTTTCTGCAGGCAGACTTACACATCCCTAGTGGCATTCAGACACATGGTCGTAAGCTGGATGGCTCTGGGTGAGCCACTGAAGTTCGTTCTCTCTGCCTCAGTTTCCTGGCTGGTTTTAAATGGAACTAAACAAGAACACGAGGCTGCACAAATGTAAGGAATCATTCATACCACCAGGTGAGCCAAGCAACAATTGTGCCCAAAAATGAAACTTCTGAGCTAGACTGTGGAAGCGCAAACGCACACACACACACACACACACACACACACACACACACACACAGTTACCTCTCCCTCCTGCCCTTCAAACTAGTATTTGCCTCCACAACCTTATCAGCAAGCAGTAAGACATTTTACTAATTATCTGAAAAACCTGCAAATTTGAGGTTACCTTCAAATGACAAACGTCCACAAAGGCTGACCACAATACACAATGTTTAAATTTTTAAAAATATATTACAGTAAAAGACACGTTGCCATTAACCCACTCCCAAAATATTTCTTCCTTCAAACACTCTTATCCCGCTGTTCTTACAACTCTCTACAGCAGTTGTGGAAGTCTCTTTCATGAGCACCCTCACAAGGTAGGATCAAAAATACAGTGAATGCTGCTGCCAAGTGCCATCCAATGGAAAAGCATGTTTGTAAAAACATTACCGTGTGTGCTCACCCACCTTATCCACCAGATCTGGCACCAAGCAACTTCTGGCTCTTCCCCAAAGTCAAAATGATCATGAAAGATAAAAGTTTTGAATCACTTCAGAACACCTCGGCAGCCACAAGACACACACAAGAAAGGACTTCCAGAAGGCAACAAGAACATCGAGATAAGTGTGCTCAGAGAGGAAGTATTTTGTTTGTTTGGTTGGTTGGTTGGTTGGTTTTTGAGACAGGGTCTCACTATGAGGTTGAGACTGACCTGAAACTCACTATGTAGCCCAGGCTGGTCTCGAACTCACAGTGATCCTCCTGCCTCAGCCTCCCAAGTGCTGGGATTAAAGGCATGCGCCACCACACCCGGCGCAAGAGGAAGTATTTTGAGGGGGATTAATGACAATGTGTATTTTAATGTAATAAAAATTTTAAACTTAAATATTCACCATATTTTTCTATCACACAGTTATTTGAAGAAAAAAAAGACTGGACATCTTTGCTATTCCAATTTTTAAAGAAAAGCATGAGGTCAGGTTTTATTTCTACTAGAAATAGTAGGGCATTCCTGCCACCGTGGGACTCTTCATAAACACTGCCTTGACCGCTACCATTTAGGACCACCTGGTAAATACAGATAACACAGAAATGCTGAGTATGGGTTTGAGTGGGCATTAGGACATATCTAAGACAGGTACCTACAGACTTGTATACTCAGCTTCACATATACAGGGACAACTTTTTTGAAACGGAAAGCATTATAGTACTTCTTGACACCAAACATCCACAAGAGCTGGTTTTTGAGAAATGAATTCACTCAGCCCAGCTTGATGGCACACACCTGTAATCCCGGCACTTAGAAGGTCGAGGCAGGTGGATTGCCTCGAGTTCAAGGCCAGACCGAACTACATAGCTACATCCTGTCTTTAGGGGGGGACAGTCTTCAGCTGGGTTTGGTGGCACACACCTGTAATCGGGGAGGGGGAGCAGACAAGCAATCAGGTGGGTCAGCCAAGTAAGCTCTCAGACCCTTCCTTGGCCCAAGAAAGGAGAAACGCATTCATTTTGTTCCAACAAGCACTTCAGGGAATTCTGACACAAGCTCAAGTTTGAGAACCACTCCTTGAGAGTCATCTAACATCAAAAAGCTTAAACCCGGCCAGGGATGTAACTCAGCAGCACAGCACCTGCCTGGCAAATGCAAGGTCCTGAGTTTGATCCTCAGTACCACACACCACCCCCCGACAAAAGAGCTTAAACGACCCACCCCCTGGAAAGATACCCAGGGACAACAGCAAGAAAGGGGAAAGAAGCCTCCAGGAACTTCCCCCTTTCAACCCACTTCAGTGGGGAGATACTGGGAGCCACGTTACCCCTGGACTGCAATTCTCAGTCCCTTGCTACTTCTGGAATCGAAAGGAGACAACAGAACACTTCCTGCTTCTCCACAAAATTCCAAAATTAGTTCCTGAAGGGCAAGAACTGTGCCCGATATCTCTGTCAGCTGTCTATGCCCAGCCCAGGGCCTGGCAACCAGCAGGGTAAAGGTGGCAAACAAACTGCGTAAGTGCCGGAGGGGGAACACAGCAGCCCTCTCCATGAGGGGGGCCCCAGCATGGGGCCAGACAACTGTTTCCCTCAATCTTTAACACAAGGATCTCAGCTCCCGAACAAGAAGGGGCAGGGACTTTGGGGGCAGCTCCAGAGCCCCACAGTTAGGAAATCCAGCTGTTATGAAGTCCTAGGCCCTACCTAGGTCGTTCCCTTACTCCGCCCCTGCACTCACACCTAAACCTAGGCTTGCCAGAGGTCATGTCTACAGATCACACCCACCCTTGCCAAAGGTCAGGGCCCATAGCCCTTGGCAGGTGGCCAGGGACATTACCTGTCTGGTAAACATGTTCGCAAACATCCCGAGGCCAGTGGCACTGCCCTCCAACCCTGGAAGCCCTCTGTCACCATCACCACCCTCCAACCGTGGATGTCCCACCAAGGACGTCCCTCCGGCGCACTAACCTACCTGTAGTAGGACAGCAGACCATTGCCGAGCACGAACCAGCGGCGCTGGTAGCCCTTCAGGTAGTTGGTCCACTTGAGAAGCCAGCCCTTGTAGCTGTCCAGAGGGAGTGAGGCCATCGGGTCACTGGAGGTCGAGCTGTTCCCAGACACTGGAACCCCGAGAGGCGTCTTCGCCTGTCCTGGTCGCAGAAGAGGCAGAGGCTTTGGCACCGACCCAAACTCGGGTTTGAGCAAGGGCTCGCTCTCCACTGAGGACCCCAGCGGGGCCAGGTGCTCCGCTAAGACCCTGCTCAACGACCCGGGCCCTGCACCTGGGCCCGGTTCTGACCTCGGCCGCAACCCCAGGAGTTCCGTTTCCTGCCCAGGGCCGGGCCGAGGCTCAGGCGACGTCTCGGACCCAGGCTCGGATCTCCGCACGCGCTCCGACGACTCCCGCTCCGAAGCCGGCCCCAGCTGGGGCTGAGGCTTGGGCTCCAGCGCGGAGCCGGACGT